CTTTTTTTATTTGATTCTAAAACTTTTTCAAATTTTCGACTTTTCAATGATCTGATTTTATAATTTTGTGTTTTTTCATTTTCAATTTCATTTCTTCAGTTTTTCGATTTTTCAATTTTTAATTTAATTTTACGATATATCTTCCAGTTTTCATTTTCAAATTTTTCAATTTTTCGATTTTCCAACTTTTAGATTTTGTAATTTTTCAATGCGAATTTTTCGAGTTTTCAATTTTTGTTTTTTTTTTTATTTATTTAATTTATCGGTTCTTCAATGCTCTGATTTCATAATTTTTCTTTATTCGAAGTGAAATTTTTCACATCTTTTGGGTTTTTCAATTCGCCGATTTTTTAATTTTCATACTTTTTTTTATTGGATTCTAAAACTTTTTCATTTATTTCTTCAGTTCTCATTTTTAAATTTTTCAGTGTTTCGATTTCCCAACTTTTAGTAGATGTTTAAATTTTTAGATTCTGTAATTTTTCAATTGGAGTTTCCCGAGTTTTCAATTTTTTATTTTTTCTATTTATTCAATTTTTTGGTTTTTCAATGTCCTGATTTCATTATTTTTCTTTTTTTCAATGTGAAAATGATCAATTTTTGGATTTTTCAATTCTTTGACTATTTAATTTCAATATTTTTTTTTGATTGGTATTCATATATTCCATTTTTCAATTTTCCGATTTTATTTTTTCGATTTAGAATTCTTCAGTTTTTCAGTTCAATTTTAGGGTATGTAACTTTTATAGTTTTTAGCTTTAAATTTTTCAGTTTTTTATTTTCCAACTTGTTTGTTTCAATTTTTCGATTTGGGTTTTTCGAGTTTTCAATTCTGCATTTTCTTTATTGAATCTTTCGGTTTTTCAATATCTCGATTCAATAATTTTTTTTTTTCAATGTGAAAATTTTCAATTTTTCGATTCTCCAATTTCTAATTTCTTTAAATTTTCGATAATCGAATGTTCTGATTTCATAATTTTCCTTTTTTTCGATGTGAAATTTTTCGCATTTTTGGATTTTTCAATTTCTCGATTTTTGAATTTTCCTACTTTTTATTAGATTTTTATTTATTCGAATTTTCAATTTTTCGATTTTAAATGTCTCAATTTTTCGATTCTTCAATTTCTAATTTCACTAAATTTTCTATAATCCAATGTTCCGATTTTATAATTATTTATTTTTTTATTTTCAATATGTATTTCATTTTTTCAATTTTCCGATTTAGAATTTTTCAATTTTTCAGTTTTTCGATTTTCCGACTTTTAGTAATGTTTCAATTTTTAAATTTCGTAATTTTTGAGTTTATAGAGTTTTCAATTTTTTGAGTTGAAATTTTTCGGGTTTTCAATGTCCTGGTTTCATAATTTTTCGTTTTTCATTGTGAAATTTTTGAATTCTTCGATTTCTCAATTCTTCATTTTCTAATTTCTTTAAATTTTCGATTTTTCAATGATTCGATTTTATATTTTTTACTTTTTCACTTTCAATATTTCCTTTCTTCAATTTTTCGATTTAGAATTTTTCAATTTTTTAGTTTTAGATTTTGTAATTTTTCGATTTGAGTTCATCGAGTTTTCAACTGATTATTATTTTCTGTATTTATTAAATTTTTCGGTTTTTCAATGTTCTCATTTTATAAGTTTTCTTTTTACAATATGAAATTTTTCAATTTTTGGATTCTTGAATTTTCCGACTTTTTTTTTATTGGATTCTATAACTGTTTTATTTGTTCGATTTTTCAATTTTCCGATTTTAAATTTTTGATTTTTCAATGATCCGATTTTATATTTTTCAAGTTTTCGATTTACAATTTTTCAATTCAATTTTGGGATATGTAACTCTTCCAGTTTTCATTTTTAAATTTTTTAGTTTTTCGATTTTCCATCTTTTAGATGTTTCAGTTTTTAGATTTTGTAATTTTTCGATGTGAGTTTCTCGAGTTTTTAATTTTTTATTTTCTTTATTTATTCAATTTTTTGGTTCTTCAATGTTCTGCTTTTTCTGTTTTTCGATGTGGATTTTTGGATTTTTCAGTTCTCCGATTTAATTTTCCTACATTTTTTATTGGATTCTAAAACTGTTTCATTTATTCGAGAATTCAATTCTTCGATTTTAAATTTCCCAATTTTTCCACTCTTCAATCATTTCTAATTTCTTTAAATTTTCGATAATCCAATGTTTAGATTTTATAATTTTTTATGTTATTAATTTTCAATATTTCACTTGTTCAATTTTTCAATTTGAAATTTTTCAATTTTTTCAGTTCAATTTTAGGATATGTAACTCTTCCAGTTTTAATTTTTAAATTTTTCAGTTTTTCGATTTTCCAACTTTTAGCTGATGTTTCAATTTTTAGATTTTGTAATTTTTCGATTTAAGTTTCTCGAGTTTTCAATTTGTTATTTTCTTTATTTATGTATTTATTCAATTTTTCGGTTTTTTAATGTGCTGAATTCATAACTTTTCTTTTTTTCAGTGTGAAATTTTTTAATTCTTCGATTGTTGAATGTTTCCACTTCTTTTTATTGGATTCTGAAACTTGTTCATTTATTCGATTTTTCATGATCCGATTTTGTACTTTTTTATTTTTCCATTTTCAATAATTCATTTCTTGAATTTTCCGATTTATTTCAATTTCAGGATATATAATTTTTCCAGTTTTCTAAATTTTTCAGTTTTTCGATTTGAGTTTCTCGAGCTTTCAATTTTTTATTTTCTTTATTTATTCATTTTTTCGGTTTTTCAATGTTCTGATTTCATAATTTTTCTTTTTTTTTTTTTCAATATGAAATTTTTCAATTCTTCGATTGTTGAATTTTCCCACTTTTTTTTAGATTCTCAAACTCTTTCATTTATTCGATCTTTCAATTTTTCGATTGTTCATTTTCTAATTTGTTCAAATTTTTGATTTTTTATGATCTGATTTCACAATTTTTCATTTTTTCAATGTGAAATTTTCCATTTTTGGATTTTTCAATTCTTCAGTTGTTGAATTTTCCCACTTTTTATTCTATTTTTCAATTTTTCGATTTTAAATTTTCCAATTTTTCGATTGTTCATTTTCTAATTTCTTCAAATGTTCGATTTTTCTTGATCCGATTTTATAATTTTTTTAGTTTTTAATTCAATTTTAGGATATGTAATTCTTCCAGTTTTCATTTTTAAATTTTTCAGTTTTTCGATTTTCCAACTTTGAAATGTTTCAATTTTTAGATTTGGTAATTTTTCGACTTGGGTTTATCGAGTTTTCAATTTTTTATTTATTTAATTCCTCGGTTTTTCAATGTTCTCATTTCATAATTTTGCTTTCTCTAAAACTGTTTCATTTATTCGAGTTCTCAATTTTTCGATTTTGCATTTTTAAATTTTCGACATTTCAATTATCCAGTTTTATAATTATTATTTTTTTCATTTTCAATATTTCATTTCTTCAATTTTTCGATTTACAATTTTTCAGTTTTTCAGTTTTCCCAAATTTTAGATGTTTTAAGTTCAGATTTTGTAATTTTTCGATGTGGTTTTGAATTTTTTATTTTCTTTCATTTATTCAATTTTTCAAATTGTAGTTTTTCGTTTCGGTTTTTATTAACTTTATTTTTTCAATTTTTCGGTTTTTCAGAGTTTTGATTGTTGGTTTTTAATGTGAAAATTTTCAATTTTAAGATTTTAGAATTTTGGATTTTACAATTTTTGGATTTTCCCAATTTTCGTTTCGATTTATTTTTTTTCCAACTGCAACTTTTCCATTTTTTGCAGTTTTAGGAATTAAAAAAAAAAATGAAAAATTGCAAAATGGTAAAATTCAAAAATGAAAAAACGAACAGCATAAAATGAAAACTTTCAAAAATCTAAAAATCTGAAATCAAGAACTTGAAAAAATATGAAGTATCTTTTGATTTGTTTTGACGATTATGCTCGACATGACATTTTGGGAAAAGGAGACGATTGAGTCAATTTTCCATACTTTCATCCTTTGTACATCCAAGAGGTTCGTTAAAAACTTCAAAAATGTTACTTTTCAAGCATTTTTTGTGTTTTCCAGCATTTCCAGCACCCAACGGACTCGAAAACACAAAAGAAACCATCAAATTCTAGCTAGAAATCTTATTTTTGTCGAATTTTGTTAATTCTGAGGCATACTACAACTTGTTTTGACGATTCTGATCGAAAAAATGAAAATCCAACAATTGCAAAATCAAATATTTAAAATTTAAATAAACGAAAAATTATAAAATCGAAAGAAACGAACACACAAAAATTTAAACATCGGGAAAATAAAAATAAAAATCAAGAACTTGAAAAATTGAGGAACGAAAAATCAAAAATTGAAATAAATTAAAATTGAAAAAACGGAAACTTATGAAACAGGAACATTTAAAAATGGAAAAATTGAAAAATTAAAGAAAACGATTTACCACAAGTATAGAGACAAAATATTTTGCATACTTCAGAGACGATTTATTAAAAAAATTTTGAGATGACGTCATAGATTTTTTGAGAGGGGATAGACAGATAGATGAAAACGGGAAACCACATTTTTGTACTCTAGAGGTCATGAAAGTTGTAGTAGAATTTTTAAGGTTAGCAAAATCAATCAAGTACCCCGGTTGTTACTGGAGTGTAGCGGACACACAAGGGGCGTTCGCGACTCGTTTTACTTTCTAGTTCGATTGAGAAAGCGGCACTCACAACCGGCAAGTAATTCCGCTTTCGTCGGATATTGGCAGGTATTAGAAGCACAATGGCTGATGCCAAGAAGGGTCAAAGTCATCTTGTTTAGTATGTTATACGACACTCACAAACAACAAATTTTCTACAAATTCGGCAATTCATTCTAATCATTTATTTAAAACTAAACTGTAGAATAAGACTCGAAAATAGGAAACTTTACGGCGAACCTTGACCAACTTTCCATTAAAATCAATAAATAAATAAATACAATAAATTCTTTGCGGCACAGCTCCCATGCACACCTCCAAACTACTTTCTGCTTCTCTCACCTGCCCCTCTCTGCCTCGTCGCCGACACGGCCCTCTTTTCCTTCATCGCATTGAAAATCTCCCTTCTCTTTTTAATCGCGTTAGGCGTCTTGTACACTGAAACCAAACAAAAACCCCAATCAGCGAAATGCTTTAATGACTCCACTTATATACAAGTCACACACTAATAATTTCTTTCGCCAAATAAATTGAAAACGACACCGTAGAAAATTTCGGTTATTACGGCATTTAGAAACTCGATCCCACCTTTGGCCATAAGTTCTTCCGCGCACACTTTCACTTTGGGCTTCGGGGGCTCCATGACGAACGTGGAGTTCAGCCCGTTCACGTTCTCGTCGTTGATCTTGCGCTTGGGGGGGCGCAGCTCCACGTCCGTCGACGACGTGCTCGTCGTCGAGCTCAGGCCGGAGTCCACGGGGCTGTCCCAGGTGATGTTCCTCTTGCCTTGGAGGTGATTGACGAGGGTCTGGTACTCCTGGTGCAACAAGTCGCTGGCGAAGCCGTGTCCTCGCAGCTGCAGGTAGCACGACTGCAGCATCTTGCACGTCTTCTCCAGCAGGTTGGCGCGGGACTTGAGCTCCTCTTCGAGGAGGGAACACTTCTTCTGCATGATGTCGGTCTAACGAAGAGATCACGAAGTTAAAAAAAAATATACGTTTTGGTGGCTTTTATTTACTTGGTTTTGGGCTTCTATCCTGGCCAACATTTCGTTCTGTAGTTCAGCGGCCGTCTCCACCTCTGGGTGTTTCTGTATGAACTCTGACATTTTTTGCTCTAAATTGATTTTCTCGAGTTTCATTTGGGCGAGTTCGCTTTTGAAGCTTTCTTCTTGACGATTAAACCGGCCCACACTGTTGCCAATCCGACGATGCGCTTCCTCCTTTTCCCCTTGGTCGGCCAGAAGACCGCTCAAGCGAGAATCTGCGTCTTCCTTCAGCTGCCTATTTAAATAATAAACAAATCTATACTTATATAATAAAGCTGAAGCTGTTGTTTATTTGAACACGCTAATCTCAGAAACTACTGGTTCAAATTCAAAAAATCTTTTTGTGTTGGATAGTCCATGTATCATATCTACATATAGGCTATATAAAATCACGCTACGATCATTAGGAGCGAAGTAGCAATGAAAAATTGGTCTAAAGAGTTTAGACAGTACTTCCCTCGCTATCGGAAACTTGACGACTGCATGCCTATTGTGTTTTTTTTCTCATTACATTTTTGTAGTGGGAATTTAAAAAAAAATTGCGATGACGTCATCAACATTTTTGCAAGGACACGTATATCAGTTGGGATAGATGTAGTGTAATACTAAGAATAAAATTATTATATTCTCAAATTTTCGGGAAAATGAATTGGGTCGTTTGAATATTGATTTGTAATAATCAATAAAATAACGAAACAATTTACTCACGTATACCTACGTATCAGAGGCAACCGAAAATCGTGTATGTATAAACATTGTTAATTTAAGATGACAGGCGTAACAGCATACGCGAGAGCCAAACAGAGAAACTGTAAACAAAACGACCGTCGGTTTTATTGCTTCGACTTCCGCTTATTATATAAAACATTGGGTTTTATTTTAATTCTTGACGGTGAAATTCACAATTGCTTGATTATAAACATGTCTATTTCACATTCGCGGAACCAAGTGAACGCATAAAACAAATGCAGGTCTGTAATGTTAAAGTCGATGTAAATAAGCGTGCTACCCTTATGTTTCAACCGAGTTTTTCCTTTAACAAATTTTGTGTCTACCAAATTGGGTTGGTTGGGGTGTAATACTAATAATAAGTGTTGCCTTTAATTTAATCAATAAAATAAATTGACTTCATTAATTTTTTTGAACCACCTCTTAAGAAAATCTAAAAAATATGAATGGAATGATAAATCACAAGTACAAACTCATCATATTTTTTGCATTTTAGATAGGATTTATTCAGCAAAATTTAAGGGTGACGTCATCAATTTTTTTAGGAGGGATGAACAAATACATTTTGAACAAAAGTTTACCATGCTTATAATAACTTTAAAATATTCCCAAGATTTCAAAGCATTCGGTTTTGTAATTCCTGATTAAATCGATAAAATAAATTCACGCCTTCATTAATTTTTTTGAGTCACCCTGCATATGCAAATCCAAAAATATGAATGGAATGATAAATCACAAGTACAGACTCATCATATTTTGTGCATTTTAGATACGATTTATTCGGCAAACTTTTGAGCCGACGTCATCAGTTTTTTGTAGAAGATAACCAAATATATTTTGACTAAAAATTTATTATGCTCTTTATAACCTTAAAACATCTGCAAGATTTCAAAGCATTCGGTTTTGTAGTTCCTGATTAAATCAATAAAATAAATTTACGCATTCATTAATTTTTTTGAGTCACCCTGTATATGCAAATCGAAAAAATTTGAATGGAATGATAAATCACAAGAAGAGACTCACCATATTTTGTACATTTTAGATAGGATTTTTTCAGCAAAATTTTGTGGTGACATCATAAATTTTTTAGGGGGGACGACCAAATACGTTTTGATCAAAAATTTACCATGCTTATGATAATTTTAAAATGTCTTCAAGATTTCGAAGCATTCGGTTTTGTAGTTCCTGAGTAAATCAGTAAAATAAATTTACGCTTTCATTTAATTTCTTGAATCACCCTGTATATGCAAATCCAAAAAATATGAATGGAGTGATAGATCACAAGTACAGGCTGATCATATTTTGTACATTTTAGATATGATTTATTCGGCAAATTTTCGAGCTGACGTCATCAAGTTTTTGGAGGGGATAAGCAAATATATTTTGACTAAACATTTATTATGCCCTTTATAACCTTAAAACATGTGCAAGATTTCAAACCATTCGGTTTTGTAGTTCCTGAGTAAATCAGTAAAATAAATTTACGCTTTCATTTATTTTCTTGAATCACCCTGTATATGCAAATCCAAAAAATATGAATGGAGTGATAGATCACAAGTACAGACTCATCATATTTTGTACATTTTAGATATGATTTATTCCACAAACTTTTGAGCTGACGTCATCAAGTTTTTGGAGGGGATAAGCAAATATTTTTTGACTAAAGATTTATGATGCTCTTTATAGCCTTAAAACATCTGCAACATTTCAAAGCATTCTGGTTAGCAGATTAAAAATTAAATTTCAAAATGTTGTTTTATAATTTTGATTTTTTTTCCAAAAATCTGGACGTTTCGGGTGAAAAGTCGATTCAGAGTTGTAAACTACATGTGTAGGACTATGTTATTTTATACAATTGAAAACCCATTTACTATGTACAATTTTGAAGTGACGTCATCGCATTAGTGGTGGGGATGATTAGACAAATTTTGGTTAGCGTTTTACCATCTACATGATATTCTTAATATAAGTACAAAATTTCACAACAATCGGTCGAGTACTTTCGGAGATTATCTGTCTAATAAAAATCCGGGACGGCAGACCGACAGACGGACAGACGGACGGACAGACGGACGGACAGACGGACAGACAGACGGAAATGGGAGACCTATTTCTTCTCGTCTTCTAGGGGTCATGAAAGATCGAGAAAACGTAAAAGTAGAGAGTCGGCCGACGGACTCGATTACAATACTTCCTTTGCTTACGCTCGGGAAGTAAAAATTCGGAAAAACGGGAAAATTATTCCTCCTTTGACAGCTTCCGTTGCTTACGCTGCTTAAACGGTTAAAGTTACGTAAAAATCATGTATAACGAAATTGTTCCCCTCTAAAAGTTCTAAAGAAAAGTCCGCGACAGCACATGTCTATCTTTTAAGGTCGAGTCAGTATAACCTTTTTTATGGTAATGAAATTTGTTCTAAAATAATAATGCATTATGTATAAAATTCTCGCGTCACAATGTTTGTAACCGAACTTCTCCGAAATGGGTAGACCGATTTGTATGAAATTTTTTATGTCTATTCGGTAGGTCTGACAATAGGTTGTAAACTATTTTTTAAACCCCTAAGTGATAAGGGTGGCCCACCCTAAAAAATTTTTGTCTATTTTTTTGACAAATTTTTTTATTTTTATTTTTTTAAGATTTGACATAAAAAAATACACACAACCCTAAATTTTCACCTTTCCACCACCAACCCCCATTTATTAATCATCTATAAAATAAAAATCAATTGCTGTTCCTATTAGTCACACTAAAACTCAAAAACGGCTTGACCGATTTGAAACATTTTTTATATTACGGGGATGCTTTATAAATAAAAAACATAAAGATAACTTAAAAGAACAGTAAAAAATTAAAAAATTCTAAACATTTTGTATGGGAATCGCCACTTCGAATTACTGTCAATAGTTGGCGTCTCTGACGGACCTGTCGTCTAACTGACGTGTCATACAAAACTAATTCTTCCGTGTGATTGTGAAAAGTACATATATTGCATTTGAAATCGTTCTTTGTTTTTTCGTACAAAAAAAAACGTCGTTTATTTTAAGAAAAGTCTTGGTTAAATTTAATTACATATTGCGAAAGTTTCTTATTCATTTTGATCTGCCAATCTATTTACCTATATTCACTTTGTTGGTTTTGACAAAACCTAAAACTTTACCGTTATTCGAGGATTTAATTTGAAGTTTTCAATATTTTAAAATTCTCAAGACAAAATTTACAGATTTGATTGACTGTGAAAATAATTCTGTGTCGTTTTATGAAGTTCATTAAAATGCCGAGAAGACGAGAACCTCACATAGGTCTACGAATCAAATGTGCGACGAACTACCTCAGGTGCAAACCGCATTGATTTATTTCATGGGTAATTCGGATATGCAAGTTGATCAGCGTTATGCTCATAATCAACATAATCAAACATTGAAGCGAGACATTGGGTGGTATGAATAAAACTGAGTAGATACTCATATTCGAAGTACGAAATACCTACTTCATTATTTATTACTCTTATATACCTGAGCATCTATGTACTGAGTACCTACTGGGAAACATTGTATCTCCCCGGACACAAACTGAACATCTACGCGTTTTGCGAGCATTTAATCTAGATGTGAGCATCGGCGTGGCAAATAACTGAGCTGTCTGTAAAGTAGCTTAGAAAACCAGTAGGATCGTTGTAAGAGTGAATTTTAACTAAACATGGTGACTTTCATGAATGTGAAACGTCGTCAAAAGGTGCATTCAGTTTGAAAAACACATTAGGAGCAGGAATATCGAAAACTTTTCATGTAATTAACTTTTATTTATTCATAAATTGTGCAGTGCATTTTTTCTAACACTGGCCATAGAGATTCCCATCTCAAGGTGTCTACCCCATACTAACTTATATTTTGGTGACTCGATTTTTGCCTTGATGGTTGAACACTGTCACTGTTGTCCTTTTTTGTTGTATCGAGATGCTACTTGAGCATCAACTGTTACTTACTGAAGTATTAGTATCATCTAGAAAAACTAGAAATATTTTGATTTGATATTCGAGTAGATACTTCGTATTTCGAGTATGAGCATCTACTGAGTTTTATTTATATCAACCATTGTCAAAAAATTGATCGAACGTTGTTTCGACAGAACTTCCTTCGCACCAAAAGTATAATGAAACATATTCAGCATTTTCGAGTTGAGTCTTTTCTTCACACAATTTTGTGATGACCTAATCAACATTTACTATCAACATGTTGATATACCACCTTGGATTGGTGCAGTGTAATACTAAAAATAACTGTATTGTATTCCCAAAATTATCTGCGAAAATCGAGTGAGCCATTCCATCAATTTTTTGGGGGGAATAAATAAATATTCTTAACAATTTACCATGCTTACAATAACTTTAAAACGTCTGCAAGATCTCAAAGTATTCATTTTTGCAACTCTTGAGTTATTCACTAAAATAAATTGACTGATCCATATATTTTTTTGAGTCACTGTAAAAGCAAATCTAAAAAATATGAATGCAGTGATAAATTACGAAAATATACTGATGATATTTTCCACATTTTAGATAGGATTTATTCGGCAAAATCTTGAGATGACGTCTTCAAGTTTTTGGGCTTGATAAACAGATATATTTTGATTGAAAACCCACCATGTCAAACAGTAACTTCAAAACGTCTGCAATATTTCAAAATTCAGTTTTGCAATTCTTGATTCAATCAATAAAATAAATTGACTCAGTGATTAATTTTTTTGAGACACCCCCTATAAGCAAAACTAAAAAATATGAATGGAATGATAAATCACAAGTATAGTCTCATCCTATTTTGGACATTTTAGATAGGATTCATTTGGCAAAATTTTGGGCTGACGTCATCAATTTTTTGGAGGGGATAAGTAAATATATTTTGAATACAAATTTATTATGCTTATCATATGTTTAAAACATCTGCAAGATTTCAAAGCATTCGATTTTGCAGATTCAAAATTAAATTGGAGGTGAAACGGAGTTCACGGGGTCAGCTAGTAATTAAATAAATACAATAAATAAAAAATTACCTCCGCAAAATCACGATCTTCTCCGAACCCTCCACGTTGTGCATCTTATCCAGGAGCTTCCTCCTATCTTCGATCATCTTCGTCAGCTGCGCCGACAGCTTCGGGTCCACCTTCTTCTCGCTGACCTTCTCCTTCAGCTGATTCCTCACCTTCTCCAGCTCTTTTTTCAGCTCCTCCACGATCTTCACGTACTCGCCCACGTGCAGTTCCACGTTGACCACGTTCTTCTTAACATCGGACTTAATCTTCTTAGCCCTCGTCGCGTATTTCAGGGTGTTGTACGTGTCGTCGTAGCTGAGAGACGACGGCGACACGTTGGCCACCATCACCGTCTGGCAGTTGCCGCCCAAGCTGTCCTTGAGCAACCTGGTGAGCTTGGAGTCGCGGTAAGGAATGTACTTCTGGCCGTCGGCTAGGCTGTTGATGCAGTTGCCGAGGGCGAGGAGGGACTTGTTGATGTTGGCCCCTTCGGCGAATCGGGCGCCCCCGTAGCCGGTGACGGAGCCCCTTTCGCTGCCTGCTAGATCGATCATGCTGAGTTTGGCGGCGCGGACTTCTCGGGTGGCTTTCATTTCCATCTGGATGTAGACTTGGAAGACGGCGTGGGAGCGGGAGCTCTCGGCGTTGGCGTCCGTGGGGTGCTGGGTCCGGTTGCTGTTACCTAGAGATGTGGGAGTTAGAGGCGGCCATTTTGTGCCACGACAAGGTCACTACAGGCATTTTTGTTTGTGTTGTTTCTAGTAAAAAGTATAGTGCTCCAACGAAAATTGTGGTTTCATTATTTTGACTTCCAAGTGCCTGGTTTATGAATAGAGAATATCTTAAACTAATACTACTAAAGATAAGTGAGACCTGTTTAAATTTGAAATTGAGAAATCGAAAATTTGAAAAATTAAGAAATCTTAGATTAATTTAAAAAAATCATTGTTGCCAACTTAAATTTGAGTGCGGACCCATAAATATTACCACATTTTTCACGTGATTGGTACCCCTGAAATGGGGGACATTTTATCCGTCTACAGAAAAATCTAAAAATGTAAAATTTAGAAATTCGAAAAATTGAAATATAGAAATATCGAAGAACTGAAGAATTAAAAAATCGAAAAAAAAAAATTGAAAAACTCGCAAAAATTGAAGAATCGAAAAAAATTGAAAAATTAAAAAATCGAAAATTCTAAAATTTAAAAATCGAAAACCCGAGAAATCGAAAATCCAAAATTGAAAATAATCTAAAAAAATTTAAAAATCTGAAAATTGAAGATTCGAAAAACTGAAAAATCGTGAAGTTGAAAGATTAAAATATCGGACAATTGAAACGAAAAATTGGAAAATTCCAAAACAGAAATTACCAAAAATTGGGAAATCGAAAGAGCGAAAAATTGGAACAATCGAAAAATCTAAAATTCAAAACATTGAAAAATTAAAATATCGAAAAAATGTAAAATCGGAAAACTGAAAAATTAAAAAATCAAAAAAAAACGAGAAATCGAAAATTCAAAATTGAAAAACTCGCAAAAATTGAAGAATCGAAAAAATTTAAAAATTCCAAAACTGAATTGAATCGAAAAACTGGGAAATCAAAACATCGAAAAATTGGAAAATCGAAAAATCTAAAATTTAAAAATCGAAAACCCGAGAAATCGAAAATCCAAAATTGAAAATAATCTAAAAAAGTTAAAAATCTGAAAATTGAAAATTCGAAAAACTGAAAAATTGTGAAATTGAAAAATTAAAATATCGGACAATTGAAACGAAATATTGGAAAATTCCAAAACAGAAATGACCAAAAATTGAGGAATCGAAACAGCGAAAAATTGGAACAATCGAAAAATCTAAAATTTAAAACATTGAAAAATTAAAATATCGAAAAAATGTAAAATCGGAAAACTGAAAAATTAAAAAATCAAAAAAAAAACGAGAAATCGAAAATCCAAAATTGAAAAACTCGCAAAAATTGAAGAATCGAAAAAATTTAAAAATTCCAAAACTGAATTGAATCGAAAAACTGGGAAATCAAAACATCGAAAAATTGGAAAATCGAAAAATCTAAAATTTAAAAATCGAAAACCCGAGAAATCGAAAATCCAAAATTGAAAATAATCTAAAAAAGTTAAAAATCTGAAAATTGAAGATTCGAAAAACTGAAACATCGTGAAGTTGAAAGATTAAAATATCGGACAATTGAAACAAAAAATTGGAAAATTCCAAAACAGAAATGACCACAATTTGGGAAATCGAAACAGCGAAAAATTGGAACAATCGAAAAATCTAAAATTTAAAACATTGAAAAATTAGAATATCGAAAAAATGTAAAATCGGAAAACTGAAAAATTAAAAAATCGAAAATAAAAATGAGAAATCGAAAATCCAAAATTGAAAAACTCGCAAAAATTGAAGAATCGAAAAAATTAAAAAATTCCAAAACTGAATTGAATCGAAAAACTAGGCAATCAAAACATCGAAAAATTGGAAAATCGAAAAATCTAAAATTTGAAAATCGAAAACCCGAGAAATCGAAAATCCAAAATTGAAAATAATCTAAAAAAGTTAAAAATCTGAAAATTGAAAATTCGAAAAACTGAAAAATTGTGATATTGAAAGATTAAAATATCGGACAAATGAAACGAAAGTTGGAAAATTCCAAAACAGAAATGACCAAAAATTGGGAAATCGAAACAGCGAAAAATTGGAACAATCGAAAAATCTAAAATTTAAAACATTGAAAAATTAGAATATCGAAAAAATGTAAAATCGGAAAACTGAAAAATTAAAAAATCGAAAATAAAAATGAGAAATCGAAAATCCAAAATTGAAAAACTCGCAATAATTGAAGAACCGAAAAAATTTAAAAATTCCAAAACTGAATTGAATCGAAAAACTGGGAAATCAAAACATCGAATAATCTAAAATTTAAAAATCGAAAACCCGAGAAATCCAAACAGCGAAAAATCGGAACAATCGATAAATCTAAAATTTAAAACATTGAAAAATTAGAACATCAAAAAAATGTAAAATCGGAAAACTGAAAAATTAAAAAATCGAAAATAAAAATGAGAAATCGAAAATCCAAAATTGAAAAACTCGCAAAAATTGAAGAATCAAAAAAATTTAAAAATTCCAAAACTGAATTGAATCGAAAAACTGGGAAATCAAAACATCGAAAAATTGGAAAATCGAAAAATCTAAAATTTAAAAATCGAAAACCCGAGAAATCGAAAATCCAAAATTGAAAATAATCTAAAAAAGTTAAAAATCTGAAAATTGAAAATTCGAAAAACTGAAAAATTGTGAAATTGAAAAATTAAAATATCGGACAATTGAAACGAAACATTGGAAAATTCCAAAACAGAAATGACCAAAAATTGAGGAATCGAAACAGCGAAAAATTGGAACAATCGAAAAATCTAAAATTTAAAAATCGAAAATCCAAAATTGAAAATAATCTAAAAAATTAAAAAATCTGAAAATTGAAGGTTCCAAAAACTGAAAAATCGTGAAATTGAAAGATTAAAATATCGGACAATGGAAACGAAAGTTGGAAAATTCCAAAACAGAAATGACCAAAATTTGGGAAATCGAAACAGCGAAAAATCGGAACAATCGAAAAATCTAAAATTTAAAACATTGAAAAGTTAGAACATCGAAAAAATGTAAAATCGGAAAACTGAAAAATTAAAAAATCGAAAATAAAAATGAGAAATCGAAAATCCAAAATTGAAAAACTCGCAAAAATTGAAGAATCGAAAAACTGGGAAATCAAAACATCGAAAAATTGGAAAATCGAAAAATCGAAAACCCGAGAAATCGAAAATCCAAAATTGAAAATAATCTAAAAAAGTTAAAAATCTGAAAATTGAAAATTCGAAAAACTGAAAAATTGTGAAATTGAAAAATTAAAATATCAGACAATTGAAACGAAACAGAAATGATCAAAAAATGAGGAATCGAAACAGCGAAAAATTGGAACAATCGAAAAATCTAAAATTTAAAAAATTGAAAAATTAAAATATCGAAAAAATGTAAAATCGGAAAACTGAAAACTGGAGAAATTGAAATATTCCAAAATTAAAATGACAGAGAATTGAAAATGTCAAAAAATGAAATGACGAAAAGTTGGAAAATCAAAATATCGAAAAATTGGAAAATCGAAAAGCCAAAAAGCCGAAAATTCAAAAAACCGAGAAATACAAACAAAGAAAAATTCAAAAACCGAAACATTGAGAGATTGATAAAAAAATCGAAACATCGAGATTTTGATTTAATCTCGATAAAACGAGAAATCAAAAAATTGAAAAATCGAAAAATAATAAACTTTAAAAAACTAAAAATAAAAAAATTTTAAAATTAAAAGATTCACCATCTATAAATTGAAAGACCTAAAATTTTAAAATCGTTCGAGAAATTGAAAAATTCCAAAACTGAAATGACGAAAAATTGGAACATGGAAAAATTGTAAAATCGAAAATTTCAACGGAAAACTGTAGAATCGAAAAATTAGAAAATCGAGAAATCAAAACATCAAAAAATCTAAAATCCAACATTTAAAAACTCGAAAAAATTTAAAAATTGGAAAATTGAAGAAACGAAAAACTGAAAAATTCCAAAACAGAAATGATGAACAATTTGAAAATCGAAGCATTAAAAAATTGGAAAAATCGAAAAATCGAGAAATTAAAAAATTTCCAAATTAAAATAACGAAAAATTGGGAATTCCAAACATCGAAAAATTAGAAAATCGAAAATTTCAAAATCGAAAAATTAAAAAATGAGATATCGAGGCATCAAAAGGTCGAAAAAATGGAAAATTGAAAAACCGAAAAGTCGAAAAATCCAAAATTTAAAAAATAGAAAAAATCTGAAAATTGAAATTTGAAAAACGAAAAATCGAAAAATTGAAAAATTAAAATATCAAAAAATTAAAGAAACGCAAAACTGAAAATTCGAGAAATTGAAATGACGAAAAATCGGAAAATCGAAAATATAAAAAATCGAAAAATCGAAAAATCTAAAAATTGAAAAATTCCATAAATGAAATGACGCATAGTTGGAAAATCAAAACATAAAAAAATTGGAAAATTGAAAAGCCAAAAAGCCGAAAATTCGAAAAACCGAGAAATCTAAACAAAGAATTCAAAAAGCGAAACATGGAAAAAGCGAAACATCGAGAAATCGAAAAATTAAAACTGAAAAATTGAAATTTAAAAAAATTGATAAATCGAAAAATTGAAAAATAGAGAAATTGATAAAAAAATCGAAACATCGAGATTTCGATTTAATCTCCATAAATCGAGAAATAAAAAAATTGAAAAATCTAAAAATAAAAAATTTTAAAAATCGAAAAATAAAAAATTTTAAAATCGAAAGATCGGGAAATTGAAAAATTCAAAACTGAAATGACAAAAAATTGGAAAATCGAAACATGGAAAAATTGGAAAATCGAAAATTTCAAATTGAAAAATTAAAATATGTAAAAAAAAAACCTGTGAAATCGAAAATCCAGCATTTAAAAACCCGAAAAAATTGAAAAATTGAAGTAAAACCAAAAATCGAAAAATTCCAGAACAGGTCGAAAAAATGGAAAATTGAAAAACCGAAAAATCGAAAAATCCAAAATTTAAAAAATAGAAAAAATCTGAAAATTGAAATTTGAAAAACGAAAAATCGAAAAATTGAAAAATTAAAATATCAAAAAATTAAAGAAACGCAAAACTGAAAATTCGAGAAATTGAAATGACGAAAAATCGGAAAATCCAAAATATAAAAAATTTAAAAATCGAAAAATCTAAAAATTGAAAAATTCCATAAATGAAATGACGCATAGTTGGAAAATCAAAACATCAAAAAATTGGAAAATTGAAAAGCCAAAAAGCCGAAAATTCGAAAAACCGAGAAATCTAAACAAAGAAGAATTCAAAAAGCGAAACATGGAAAAATCGAAACATCGAGAAATCGAAAAATTAAAACTGAAAAATTGAAATTTAAAAAAATTGATAAATCGAAAAACTGAAAAATAGAGAAATTGATAAAAAAATCGAAACATCGAGATTTCGATTTAGTCTCCATAAATCGAGAAATAAAAAAATTGAAAAATCTAAAAATAAAAAATTTTAAAAATCGAAAAATAAAAAATTTTAAAATCGAAAGATCGGGAAATTGAAAAATTCAAAACTGAAATGACAAAAAATTGGAAAATCGAAACATGGAAAAATTGGAAAATCGAAAATTTCAAATTGAAAGATTAAAATATTGGAAAACTGTAGAATCGAAAAATTAAAAAATCGAGAAAACGAAACATTAAAAAATCAAAAAACTGTGAAATCGAAAATCCAGCATTTAAAAACGCGAAAAAACTGAAAAATTGAAAAAACCAAAAATCGAAAATTCCAAAACAGAAATGATGAACAATTGAAAAATCGAAGCATTAAAAAATTGGAAAATCGAAAATTTCAAAATCGAAAAATTAAAAAATCGAAAAAATTGAAGATTTGAAAAGCTGAAAAATCGAAACATTGAAAAATTCCAAAACAGAATGATAAAAAATTGGGAAATCGAAACATTAAAAAATTGGAAAAATCGAAAAATCTAAAAATTTTAACATTGAAAAATTAAAATATCGGAAAACTGAAAAATCGAGAAATTAAAAAATGAGATATCGAGGCATCAAAAGATCGAAAAAATGGAAAATTGAAAAACCGAAAAGTCGAAAAATCCAAAATTCAAAAAATCGAAAAAATCTGAAAATTGAAATTTGAAAAACGAAAAATCGAAAAATTGAAAAGTTAAAATATCAGAAAATTAAAGAAACGCAAAACTGAAAATTCGAGAAATTGAAATATTTCAAAATTGAAATGACGAAAAATCGGAAAATCGAAAATATAAAAAATTGAAAAATCGAAAAATCTAAAAATTGAAAAATTCCATAAATGAAATGACGCATAGTTGGAAAATCAAAACATCAAAAAATTCGAAAATTGAAAAGCCAAAAAGCCGAAAATTCGAAAAACCGAGAAATCTAAACAAAGAAGAATTCAAAAAGCGAAACATGGAAAAATCGAAACATCGAGAAATCGAAAAATTGAAATTTAAAAAAATTGATAAATCGAAAACCTGAACAATAGAGAAATTGATAAAAAAATCGAGAAATAAAAAAATTGAAAAATCTAAAAATAAAAAATTTTAAAAATCGAAAAATAAAAAATTTTAAAATCGAAAGATCGGGAAATTGAAAAATTCCAAAACTGAAATGACAAAAAATTGGAAAATCGAAACATGAAAAAATTGGAAAATCGAAACATGAAAAAATTGGAAAATCGAAAATTTCAAATTGAAAAATTAAAATATTGGAAAACTGTAGAATCGAAAAATTGAAAAATCGAGAAAACAAAACATTAAAAAATCGAAAAACTGTGAAATCGAAAATCCAGCATTTAAAAACGCGAAAAAATTGAAAAATTGAAGAAACCAAAAATCGAAAAATTCCAAAACAGAAATGATGAACAATTGGAAAATCGAAGCATTAAAAAATTGGAAAATCGAAAATTTCAAAATCGAAAAATTAAAAAATCGAAAAAATTGAAGATTTGAAAAATTAAAAAAATCGAAACATTTGAAAAATTCCAAAACAGAATGATAAAAAATTGGGAAATCGAAACATTAAAAAATTGGAAAAATCGAAAAATCTAAAATTAAAAAAATTGAAAAATTAAAATCTGAAAAATCACAAAATTGAAATTCCAAAACTGAAATAACGGAAAACTGGAAAATCGAAAAATCTGAAATTTTAAAAATTGAAAAATTAAAATATCGCAAAACTGAAGAATCGAAAAATTGAAAAATTGGGCCATCGAAACATAAAAAATTGAAAAATTGAGAAATCGAAGAATCAAAAAATGAAAAAATCCAAAATTTTAAAAATTGAAAAAGTAAAACATCGAAAAACCGAAACTAAATCCAAAATTGAAAAAAATCGAAAAATCTGAAAATTGAAGATTCGAAAAACTGAAAAATCAAAAAATTAAAATAATTTTAAAATTGAAAAATTAAAATATCAATTTTTAAGAAACGAAAAATTGAAAAATTCCAAAACACAATGATGAAAAAAATGAAAAAAGAAACATTAAAAAATTGAAAAAATCGAAAAATCTAAAATTAAAAAAATTGAAAAATTCCAAAACTGAAATGACGAAAAATTGGAAAATGGAAAAATCTAAAATTTAAAAAATTGAAAAATTAAAATATAGGAAAACTGAAGAATCGAAAAATTGAAAAATCGAGAAATCGAAACATCAAAAAATCGAAAAACTGAGAAAGCAAAAGTCCAACATTTAAAAACTCGAGAAATTTGAAAAATCGGAAAATTGAATCGAAAAACTGGAAAATCTAAAATTTAAAAATTCCAAAATTGAAATGAAAAGTTGGAAAATCGAAACATCGAAAAATTGGAAAAACGAAAAGCCAAAAAAATCGAAAATTCGAAAAACCGAGAAGACCAAAGAAAAATTCAAAAACCGAAACATCGAAAAATTGAAACATCAAAAAACGAAATAAACGAAAATCGAAAAGTTAATTGGAAAACTGAAAATTCAAAAAATCGAAAAATTTAAAAACCAAAAAATAAAAAAATTTAAATATCCAAAAATTCAACATAAAAACTGAAAAATCTAAAATCTTAGAAACTGAAAATGTAAAAATCAAAAAGTCAAAAAAATTGACGCATCAAAATATTGAAAACTCCCAAAACTGAAATATCGAAAAATTAAAAAATGAAAGAAAAATTGAAAAATTGAAAAACTGAAAAATCCTAACATTGAAACATCGAAAAACTGAAAAATCGAGAAATCGAAAAGTCAAAAATCTAAAATTTAAAAAAGCGAGATATTGAAAAATCGAAAAACTGAAGAATTGAAAAACTGAAAAATATAAAAATATCTAGAAATGAGAAAATCACAAAGTCGATTGAATTGAAATAGAAATTTGAAAAATCGAGAAATCGAAGTCAAAAATTAAAAAAATTGAGAAATCGAAAAATCGTTATATAATTGTTTTTTTTTCTTCTAAAAATCTAGATATCTAGGATCAAAATTCAACACGGATTCATAAACCACAAATGGAGTACCTCATTTTATAAAATTTAAATAAGATGGGATCATGAAATGTCGAGAAAACATGAAGTAGTCAGTCGTCCGATGGACTCGATTATAAGACTTCCTTGACTTACGCTCGTTAAAAAAGGGCCGATATTTAAGTTTTTGGTATTAATTTAAAATGCTCTTTTTTTATAGACAATCGGAAAAGTCAGAGTCGTAAAACTACTATATCTCTTGTGCTACTATACTATGCCCTTGAAACACCAAAACTACATAGTTAAAATAAAATTTGCTGTTACCCTTTGCCAACAGAGTGAATAAATCATTTGGATTTTCGATTTTATGGATTTTAATCCCCGACACCATGACTCCATATCTGCCGTCATCCCTCAACTGCAGTGGTGCTCCTGGGTTCAGAAGATCCTGCACAAGCTCATTGTACACTTCTATATATGAGATCCCCAACTCGAAATTGCGCTCGTCTTGTAAAGTTTCTTTGGTTTTAAAAAGTTCAGCCATCGTCAAATACGTGATTCCCGGGTTCTCCGTCTGCCCGATCATCGTGTGTGTTTTACCCGCCCCAGTGGCCCCATAGGCAAAAACCGAACAATTATATCCATCCATCAAACACTTAATCAAGCTTTTCGTGGTATCCTCAAAGATCTGCTCGTTCGTTGACTCAAACCCAAACACTTTATCAAACATAAACTGCAAGTCTTTGTTCGCTTTGCGCAAAAAATCCCGACCTTTTTGTTCAACTCCATGGTAAAAAAACGACTGCGGGTTGAATTTAGGGTCGAAAATGAGGACCTGTTCGTCGACGACTTTCACGACGTCCCTGCAACCACAACTCTCAAACTCCCGTCCACGTCTCTGCGTAGCTCGTTTGTACCTGCTGTTGTCGCCTTGCTCCTTCGGGTTCGGGGGGCGCACCCGCACCACGACCTTCACGTTGGCGGAGGACCTCACACAGGCGGCCCTGGATTTGACCAAAGGGCGAGACTTCACCAGAGGGTTCTTGTGACGAGGGGACTTCAACTCGGGTTTGCCCATTGTTGGTCGCTTAAAAACACTTGACACCGTGTAAAAACAATTTATATAAACCGAAAAAATCACATTTGCACAAATCCGCAACGGTGATGTGTAAAAAATAGTAAACGTTCATCAATTTTTGACGTTTGGGATCGTTTGGCTAAAATTTACAGACGCTGTGACAGTTCGCTGGGCGAAATTGAAAAACAAGATCGAGTGACCGTTGCGATTCGAATGTTTGGAAATTCAAAATGGAGAGTCGGCAAGCGAGCGAGCGACCGTACCAACAGGGATATTTGAATTTTAACAACCTTATTAATCTCACAACACAAAAATAGTCCCTGCAAAGTAATAAAATCGAGATAGAAGAAAAATTAGACACGCTTTTTAAACATACTCGTCAGCGTCAAAGCCGAAAAATTGATTTTTTCAACTGTAGGTAACGTAGAGTGCGACATTACCATCCAGTGACATTAACCTGACCAAGTAAACAAACAAAATTTAATAAACAGCCACAACGCTAATAAACACCAGTCACCTCTAATTACTAAACAAACCGTCAATAATGGCCGAGTCACGACGACTCGGCAAAGCAGACCTGACTCTGCCGTGCAAAGAAATGGCTCACTACCTCCTGGGAAAAATTTTAGCCCGAAAACTCGACAACGGGGCCGTCCTCAAAGGCCGCATCGTCGAAACCGAGTGTTACTTAGGGGGCGAAGACAAAGCCTCTCATTCGTACAACGGCAGGTTAGTTTATCCTCGTAAGGTCACCAAATTATCAACTACCTTTTAGACAGACTCCTGGAAATGAGCCCATGTATATGCCCTCAGGAACCACCTACGTCTATTTCACGTACGGAATGTACTTTTGTTTCAATATTTCGAGTATTGAGCCGGGGGCTGTCGTACTAATCAGAGCTGCGGAGCCCCTTCAAGGTTTAGAAACTATGGCGAAGTTTAGGTCGGTGAAGAAAAAGGGGGTTTTGAAGGAGACTGAGTTGTGCAATGGACCCTCAAAGTTGTGTATAGCCATGAATATGACGAAACAGAATTGTAATAAAATGGATTTGTGTGAGAGTGAGGTCTTGTGGATCGAGGATGATGGGGGAAAGGTGGAAGAGAAAGAAATTGTGATAAGCACGAGGATAGGGATTGCGTCTGCGGGGGAGGAGTGGGCCGGGAAGCCGTTGCGATTTTACGTATTGTCAAATCCACATGTTAGCAAAAGGGATAAAAAAGCAGAGAGAGAATTAAGTTGAACTGATTTTTATTATAAGTATTTATGTTTATAAAAAAATTATAAAAACATTGTACTTTTTATTGAACTTAACCTCAAAGTGTTTGTGTTTGTAAACATAACCTCAAATTGGCGCATTTCTCGACCAGATTTATTTAACACCGTTGTTCTTTACAATAAACGAAGTAGGTATAAATATGAAAAGCCCCAGAAGACTTTCAAAGGCAGATTTAAACTTGCCATGCAAGGAAATGGCTATTTTCCTTCTTGGAAAATTGCTAGTTCGAAAATTGGAAAGTGGTTCAGTCCTAAAAGGCCGAATTGTCGAAACTGAATCCTATTTAGGCGGTGAAGATAAAGCTTCCAATACCTACAACGGCAGGTAATTTATTTTACATTGTTTTTATTTAAATAAAAAAAAAAATCAATCTCAGACAAACTGCCGCAAACGAACCCTTGTACTTGCCAGCGGGAACCGCTTTTGTTTACATGACCTATGGAATGTACTTTTGCTTCAACATATCAAGTACTGAACCAGGAGCTGGAGTTTTACTTAGGGCCTTAGAACCACTGCAAGGAGTTGAACTTATGAAAAAGCTCAGAACCAGTAAGTTTTACCATTTTTTAAGTTTCCAAACACTGTAAAAGTGGTTACAGAGAAGAATAAAGGGTCTCTCAAAGACACAGATTTATGCAACGGTCCCTCAAAATTATGCATGGCAATGAACATCAGCAAAGACAAATGTAACAAACTCGATATCACTGAAAGTGAGTCTTTGTGGCTAGAAGACGACGGCGAAGCCGTCGAAAAACCCCAAATTGTGAGCAGTTCTCGGATTGGAATTAATTCATCAGCAGGAGAGTGGGCCAAAACACCGCTGCGATTTTATGTAGTATCAAGTCCTCACGTGAGCAAACGAGACAAGAAAGCTGAAGACGCATTAACCACATAATTTTGTGTACTTTTCAAAAATAAACTTTTTTTCAAAAATTTGAATTTTATTTATAGAGGGCGCCCCGACTTGACAACTTTGACAGCCACGAATCGTGTCTCGTGTGGTGGCAGCACTGAGCTTTTGCTCTTTCTTTCTGTCAATCCGCGTCAGACATGGTAAGTTTCCAAAATTTCGTAAAATTCTCGACCATCTTAACAGAAAAATACCACAAAAACTTGATTTTATCGTCGGAATGTCGTCTAAATCACGTCCATTCACATATTCTTGCTCCATTTTCAGGGTGTCGACATTAACCATAAACACGACCGTAAGGTTAGGCGCACCGAACCCAAAAGCCAAGATGTATATTTACGTCTTCTAGTTAAGGTAAGACTCCACTAACCCCCTTGAGTCGTTTTTTAAACTTGAGTCTGTTTCAGTTGTACCGTTATTTGGCCCGTCGTACGGGTTCAAAATTCAACAAAATCATCCTCAAACGCTTGTTCATGAGCAAAATCCATAAGCCCCCAATCTCTCTGGCGCGCGTAGTACGCGCTATGAAAAAACCAGGACGCGAAGGTTTAACTGCCGTCATTGTAGGATCAGTAACTGACGATGCTCGCATTTGGGAAGTCCCAAAGTTGTCGGTGTGTGCGCTTCGCGTGACGGGAACTGCCAGAGCTAGAATTATTAAAGCAGGTATGTAGATAAAAAGTGCGAAAAGCGGTTTTTAATGGTTGTTTTGTAGGTGGAGAAGTAATCACTTTCGATCAGTTGGCTTTAAGAGCACCCACAGGTGCCAAAACTGTTCTGTTGCAAGGAAGACGCAACGCTCGCGAGGCTGTGAAGCACTTCGGACCAGCTCCTGGAGTGCCACACTCGCACAGTAAGCCATTTGTGAGGGCCAAGGGAAGGAAGTTCGAGAGAGCTCGTGGCCGCAGGCGCTCGTGCGGTTACAAAAAGTAATTTTGTTTGGTTGCTGTACCCCTAAGTTTTGTAATAAATAGTGCGTGCAGTAGGTTGTGTATTTTTATTTAAAAAGAACATGCTTGACATAACCTCTAAATTAGAAAAAAAAAACAAGAGGACACAAAGAATTCTTAACTATGTAAAGCCTATCGACACATTTATACATACTATATAAATAAAAATTGAAACAAACCGATTTTTTAAATTTATTAACAATTAACATAACCTCACTTTTTGACAATCATTGCGACATGATATTTTCGAACAAAAAGCAAAAGTACACCAGTCACACTCCAATAGTTCTTGTTCTTACTAATTAAAACGTGAAACTATCGCATTTGGGTGTTTACTGCAAAAATAAATCCGCGTTAACCTCATTTTTTTCACACATAACCTCAAATTCTCACATGTATCATTGCGAAGGTGACACTCATAGCAGCAAGAATGGTTAAACCTCCGACTTTCGAGGTGGTAGCGGGCACCTACGAGGAATTCCTGCTGGGCTACACCTTCTCGTCAAAGGTTGGTACCCCCTTTTAAAAAACTTGTCTCACAACCCCACTTTTAGGAAAATTCGTTGACTCAGAGCTTCGCCGCCCATGACCACGCCGCCAGCGTCCGCTGTGTGGCCATTTCCGGCCAGTACTTGGCTTCAGGGGGCGCCGATGACCGTATCTTCATTTACGACTTAAAAACTCGCAAACAACATTTCACGCTGACAAACCACAACTCCACGGTCAACTGTTTGGAATTTACCGACAACCACTCACACCTCATTAGTGGAAGCGCCGACGGTGTGCTTGCTATAGTGCGTGTGGGGAATTGGCAGTTGGAGAAAGTGTGGGAGAAGGCCCATAAAGGTGCGGCTATTTTGGATGTAGCGGTGCATTCTTCAGGAAAGTTGGCTTTAACGTTAGGTGCTGATTGTAGTTTGTGTACGTGGAATCTTGTGAAGGGGCGACAGGCGTACGTTATTAATTTGAGAAGTAAATGTAAGGATGCTAGAAGTTTGGAGAAAATATTGTGGGCACCGGATGGGGTGAGGTTTGTTTTGTATGGAGGAAAATACACAGAAGTGTGGAGTGTTGAATCTGGGGGGTTTTTGACTCAGATTGGGCATAAAGAAAAGGTGACAGCGTGTCTGTGGATGGATGATGAGATGTTGTTAGTGGGGCATGAAAATGGTGAGATTTCTGTTTTAAACATAGAGGAAGGGAAAGTTATATCTTCATTCCAAGCACACGACAGTAGAGTCAAGTCTGTTGGTTTGTTTAAAAAACGCATTGTCTCAGTGTCCAGTAATGGGGAGATTAAAGTTTGGAATAGAAACCATGAAGAATTGGCTGTTGTTGATAGTGGATGTAGACTCACGTGTGTCTGTATTGTGCCCCCAATTGAAGTAAAAACTGAGGAAAATCCAGAAGAAAGTGTGGTTGAAATTGAATTAGAACCAGTTGAAACAAAGAAAATAAAGAAAGCACAAGTTGTTGAAATAGTAGAAGATGAAGATGAAGATGAAGACACTCCAGTCAAAAAGAAAAAAACGAAGAAAGTAAACGAGGGACAGGTACCTAAAAAAAAAAAGAAAAAACGTTTAAATCCAACTAGAGAATAAAGAGATTCTATTTAGATATGACTTTCAATAAACATATATGGAACAATATAATCACGTTTTCAACAATTATCACATAATTATCACAATCATTAAAAATCACTCTTTCAATTCATTTCTACATTGAGCCGTCCAGTACGCCAGAAGCGGTAAATCCGACTTTTGGACCCCCAGCGACTGAAACAACTCTTGACTGGGGGCTGAGACCCAACTCACACTTCTCGCGACATTGCGCCAGTGTAAAATAGCCCCCACTAAGTACGACTGTAGCGCACTTTCAGGCAGCCCCTCATTACTCAAAGCTTCTTCAGTCAAAGTTTGCAATTTCGGCAACTTGGGGGGCAAACACCCGCACCACTCAACCACCCACTTCCCGCTGCCTTTCCTCAACTTACAAACCTCCCCGCTCTTAGGCAAAACCCACCCTTGGGGTAAAAGTTGCACAAAAATTTCTAAAACATTGGAATCTTCAACATCAACCCTAATCCCTGTTAAAACGCAATAACAAACTTTTCTAAAAACGTCCCGGTCCATTTCTTTAAATAAAGCCCGCAAAGGAGTTGGTAAACAACTAATGGGGATGTCGGGGGCCGCGCTTGTCTTTTCTACAAAGGGCTCCACGCTGAGCAACCACGTAAACCACATGTGTAGATGGGCAAAAACCGCCGGTTCTCCGGTTAGTTGCGACAGAGACCGCGCTGGGTTGTTAGGGGAGCCCTGGGCTTGCCGCACCGCTCGCTGGGGGCACTGCGTTTGTTCCAAACCATTGACTTGGGCGGCTTTGAGTTGCAAATCTGACGCAATTTCTTTAATGTTTTTGGTTAAGACTGGCCAACAGTTTAACAGGTGGACCTAAAATTATCCCACATTGTGTTTTATTTAATATTTAATAACTGTCTTACTTTATCGCGCATTAGAATTAAAATGCTGTACTTGCGGTGGAAGCCCCTAGCTAGTGAGTCTTGTAGAGTGAAAGTGTGGCTGAGGACGTGCCCCCTTTCGCTGTCGCCGAAGTACATAGTGCCCCCTTCTTTACTCGTTTCCTGTAACACAACAACATTATGATGCAACATGTAGTGTTAAAATGGTGTACTAACTTCACAACTCAGGCTTCGGACGGCTGCTTGTTTGAGCAAAAAGGCTAGGTCTTGTTGCAAGGGGGTTCGAGTGGTCACGTAGCAAGTACCCTCGTCTTTACTCACAAGCGATTGGTCTAAATCGATGGACTGACAAGACTCACACCATGGTACGGTGAGACTGTGGGGGTACTGTTGGGGCTCTTCTTTACATCGTTGCGTCGATAAAATCACACAAGGGCCGTGAGTTTCGCAAAAATGGCCCAGGCCCACAATCCCGTCCATATCAACTAAAATATCTATATTTTTTCATTTTCTATTTTTAGTGGTTGCGAATTTCGTCGTCAGTGGCGGCGTTTGCATGGGTTCGCGATGAATTGTCGACCACCGGTCACACTTTTTCTTTCATTTTTTTTTAATAATGACATTACGCATTCTAAAATTATTGTTCGTTCTAATGAAACGACTTTAAAAATTTAGAAGCTTCGATGTTTTGAATTTGTTCGCAACTATGTTTCCTGTCTCCGCCCACGGCCAACTGTATTAATACATATGGCCATCCCAATTCGTATAAAAAGTTGATTCTTTGACGTTTCCAGAATCGTTAATCAGGCAACGACATCTGTTGAGTACAATTATGAACTTGGTTGGCAAATAATTGTCAAAATGACGTTTTAAAATATCACGTTTTTCTGAAAGTGTAGATAATGGCACAAGAACATTAATGATATTACTCATATTATTTAGTTTTGAAATAAGATAGATATATTTTTACAAAACGAAAATTATTTAACAAAAAGGAAGGTACATATTCATAATTTTAAAACTTTTCTGCTGGTAGGTTTGTTACAGATCGTTATTTTCTTCAACCAGTCTGTTTGTTCCAAACAAATATTATCAATAACTGGTTTCACTGTTACTCGAATAATTATATCACAAACTCTTGATTTATGTTCCAAGCAACAAAATAATGGATTTTGGTCCAAAGAAGGATGGAGCAGATTACATATTTGTTGACATGTCTTTTTAGAGTTTAAAAACGGTGGTATTAGAAAGTTTTTTAAAAAGGGTAACACTTAGATTCAGTTATTTGAAGACAAATCGTGAAAAATATTTTAGATTCGTAATCTGCGAAAAATTATCTATAAGCCAACTATTTTCCGCTGGATCAGCAGATCGTCTTTTAACTGTTACAGACAAAAAATTTTTGGAAATTACAAAAAATGTCTTCAACTAATTTTCTGAAATAGTTGAAAAATAGTTGAAAATGTCAAAAGTGCGAAAATTAGTTTTATCTTATCAAATACTAGCCCCGCCCACCCACCTTCTATTTTCTTGGAAGGTATGTGATTTGCCAAAATCAGTATTATCTTAGCAAGTACTATTTAATTATTGTTTAATCATTTATTTTGCGATTTCAATATACAATATAGTACTTGCTAAGATAATACTGATTTTGGCAAATCACATACCTTCCAAGAAACTAGAGGGCGGGTGGGGGGGCTAGTACTTCCTAAGATAAGACTAATGGTGGCAAATGACATATCCTACAAGGTAAGAGAGGGCGGGTGGGCGGGGCTAATATTTGCTAAGAAAAAAACTGATTTCAGTAAAAAACATCCCTAAGAAAATACAGGGTGGCTGGGTGGGGCTAGTACTTGCTTAAATAAGGCAATTTTTGGCAAACGACATACTCTTTAAGAGAATGGAGGGTGAGTGGGTGGGCGGGGCTAGTATTTCATAAGGTAAATTTGCGATTAGTATTCTATAAAACTAGAAAGTCAATGTTTTCCTCTCAAATAAAGCCATTTGGAACGGTTTAAAATTTTTTGGAAATGTTGGGAATTTTTGGACTCCTTTTCTCGCATTTCTCAGTTATTTGAAGAGAAATCGTGAAAAATATTTTAGATTCGTCATCTGCGAACAATTATCTATAAGCCAACTATTTTCCGTTGGATCAGATCGTCTTTTTACTGTCTCAGACAAAAAAATTTTGGAAATTACAAAAAAATGTCTTCAACTAATTTTCTGAAATAGTTGAAAAATAGTTGAAAATGTCAAAAGTGCGAAAATCAGTTTTATCTTATCAAATACTAGCCCCGCCCACCCACCCTCTATTTTCTTGGAAGGTATGTGATTTGCCAAAATCAGTATTATCTTAGCAAGTGGTATTTAATTATTGTTTAATCATTTATTTTGCCACTTCAATATACAATATAGTACTTGCTAAGATAATACTGATTTTGGCAAATCACATACCTTCCAAGAAACTAGAGGGCGGGTGGGCGGGGCTAGTACTTCCTAAGATAAGACTAATGGTGGCAAATGACATATCCTACAAGGTAAGAGAGGGCGGGTGGACGGGGCTAATATTTGCTAAGAAAAAAACTGATTTCAGTAAAAAACATCCCTAAGAAAATACAGGGTGGCTGGGTGGGGCTAGTACTTGCTTAAATAAGGCAATTTTTGGCAAACGACATACTCTTTAAGAGAATGGAGGGTGAGTGGGTGGGCGGGGCTAGTATTTCATAAGGTAAATTTGCGATTAGTATTCTATAAAACTAGAAAGTCAATGTTTTCCTCTCAAATAAAGCCATTTGGAACGGTTTAAAATTTTTTGGAAATGTTGGGAATTTTTGGACTCCTTTTCTCGCATTTCTCAGTTATTTGAAGAGAAATCGTGAAAAATATTTTAGATTCGTCATCTGCGAAAAATTATTTATAAGCCAACTATTTTCCGTTGGATCAGATCGTCTTTTTACTGTCTCAGACAAAAAAATTTTGGAAATTACAAAAAAATGTCTTCAACTAATTTTCTGAAATAGTTGAAAAATAGTTGAAAATGTCAAAAGTGCGAAAATCAGTTTTATCTTATCAAATACTAGCCCCGCCCACCCACCCTCTATTTTCTTGGAAGGTATGTGATTTGCCAAAATCAGTATTATCTTAGCAAGTGGTATTTAATTATTGTTTAATCATTTATTTTGCCACTTCAATATACAATATAGTACTTGCTAAGATAATACTGATTTTGGCAAATCACATACCTTCCAAGAAACTAGAGGGCGGGTGGGCGGGGCTAGTACTTCCTAAGATAAGACTAATGGTGGCAAATGACATATCCTACAAGGTAAGAAAGGGCGGGTGGACGGGGCTAATATTTGCTAAGAAAAAAACTGATTTCAGTAAAAAACATCCCTAAGAAAATACAGGGTGGCTGGGTGGGGCTAGTACTTGCTTAAATAAGGCAATTTTTGGCAAACGACATAGTCTTTAAGAGAATGGAGGGTGAGTGGGTGGGCGGGGCTAGTATTTCATAAGGTAAATTTGCGATTAGTATTCTATAAAACTAGAAAGTCAATGTTTTCCTCTCAAATAAAGCCATTTGGAACGGTTTAAAATTTTTTGGAAATGTTGGGAATTTTTGGACTCCTTTTCTCGCATTTCTCAGTTATTTGAAGAGAAATCGTGAAAAATATTTTAGATTCGTCATCTGCGAACAATTATCTATAAGCCAACTATTTTCCGTTGGATCAGATCGTCTTTTTACTGTTTCAGACAAAAAAATTTTGGAAATTACAAAGAAATGTCTTCAACTAATTTTCTGAAATAGTTGAAAAATAGTTGAAAATGTCAAAAGTGCGAAAATCAGTTTTATCTTAGCAGATACTAGCCCCGCCCACCCACCCTCTATTTTCTTAGAAGGTATGTGATTTGCCAAAATCAGTATTATCTTAGCAAGTAGTATTTAATTATTGTTTAATCATTTATTTTGCCACTTCAATATACAATATAGTACTTGCTAAGATAATACTGATTTTGGCAAATCACATACCTTCCAAGAAACTAGAGGGCGGGTGGGCGGGGCTAGTACTTGCTAAGGTAAGACTAACGGTGGCAAATGACATATCCTACAAGGTAAGAGAGGGCGGGTGGGCGGGGCTAGTGTTTGCTAACAAAAAAACTGATTTTAGTAAATAACATATTCCTAAGAAAATAGAGGGTGGGTGGGTGGGGCTAGTAGTTGCTAAGATAAGACAATATTTGGCAAACGACATACTCTTTAAGAAAATGGAGGGTGAGTGGGTGGGCGGGGCTAGTATTTCATAAGGTAAATTTGCGATTAGTATTCTATAAAACTAGAAACTCAATGTTTTTCTCTGAAATAAAGCCATTTTTTGGAAATTTTGGAAATTTTTGGAGTCCTTTCCTCGCATTTCTCAGTTATTTGAAGACAAATCGTCAAAAAATATTTTATCTATAAGTCAACTACGTATTTTCCGGTGGGTCAGATCGTCTTTTAACTGTTTCAGACAAAAATTTTCTGGAAATTACGAAAAATTGTTGTCACTTTTTTCGCTAATTTTCGAAAATAAATGAAAAATAGTTGAAAATGTCAAAAGTGCGAAAATCAGTTTTATCTTATCAAATACTGCTAGCACCGGTTTTCGTGGTTTCACTCAAGAGACTGCACATGCTTTAAAATTTATTGCCAGAAGTACATATTTGTGTGTTAAGTTTTTATTAGAACAAGCAGGCTTTTACTATGTTCTTACGCGTTCCTTTAGCGCCGATGCGGTGGAAGCAACGTTCTCACACGTGAGATTAAAAGGAGGCTCCAATGATGCAACGGATGCCAGAGCGGCAGAATATGCAATGCGTCAGATGCTCCGCTGCGGAATTGTTAAGTGTTCCAAATCATCTAATGTTTCCAATATAGACTTTGTCAGTACTGCAAAATTCTCGGTTTTGGATCATGATACAAAACAAGACAAAGAAAATTTTGATGTACCTTTCAAAAAAAAAAGATTCAAAACCTAAGTAAATTAATTGAACCCTGTGTAAACATTTCATCGGCATCTGTAGCCTTTTTGGCTGGCTACATTTTAAAGTAATTAGACGACAAATTTCATTGCGACAGCTGCCTTGCGCCGCTGTTGTCCAAAGAGGTTCCTGGTCCGCTATTAAGACTCATCCTGTTACAGGATCGAGGTGGATTAACCTATCCCAATGCATATTTCGTAGGCATTGTGAAGGAAGTGGCTGACGTCACTCAAAAAATGTTGCCGTTTTTAAACTCCAAAAAGACATGTCAACAAATATGTAATCTGCTCCATCCTTCTTTGGACCAAAATCCATTATTTTGTTGCTTGGAACATAAATCAAGAGTTTGTGATATAATTATTCGAGCAACAGTGAAACCAGTTATTGATAATATTTGTTTGGAACAAACAGACTGGTTGAAGAAAATAACGATCTGTAACAAACCTACCAGCAGAAAAGTTTTAAAATTATGAATATGTACCTTCCTTTTTGTTAAATAATTTTCGTTTTGTAAAAATATATCTATCTTATTTCAAAACTAAATAATATGAGTAATATCATTAATGTTCTTGTGCCATTATCTACACTTTCAGAAAAACGTGATATTTTAAAACGTCATTTTGACAGTTATTTGCCAACCAAGTTCATAATTGTACTCAACAGATGTCGTTGCCTGATTAACGATTCTGGAAACGTCAAAGAATCAACTTTTTATACGAATTGGGATGGCCATATGTATTAATACAGTTGGCCGTGCTCCGCCACTGTCTTGTATTTGTTGTTGTTGTTGTCAAAACGCCTGTGACATGTGACACTTTTGACATCACACATGCCTCTAATTTGCAACCCACAAGTCTGAATACAGCGATATTAGTTAGAATAGTCGCGGATTATACTAATTAAGAGATTTAATTAGAAGTCATGTCGTGTCACCGTCGTCGCGTCGTTTATAAAGGTTGTTCGGCCGCAAACTTTGAGGTTAGTTGCGTAATGGCGGCCGTCAGGTGGCAGTGGTGTCCGTGATCGATTCGGCTAAAATTTCGAAAATTCGCTCCGCCGCGGCTCCGGGGGCGACAATCCAGTGCCTTCGTGCCGTCTCGAACCCCCCAAGTGACTTTGGTCCGGTCGAATTGGTCGTTTCGCGGGCGTTCGTGCCGGCGAAGTTGGTCCTTTGTCGCGTCGCCGTTGGCAGCAGTGCAGGTGACAGTTGTCCACAGTCGCTGGTTTGTGAATTTTTCCGAAGCTGAAGGGTCAGCCGCGGTTTAAATGGGCCAGTTGAACCTCCATCATGGGTTATAATCAGTCGACCTATAGCTAGCTGTAAGCCAAACTGCCGTGTCCTCAAGCAAGTGCGTTAGTTCGTAAATCCAGCGTGTGTAAATGTTCGGCTCAGGTTAATTACGATGGATACAATGTGGCGAAAAAAAGTGTGATAATTTCATTTCTAGCGGCTATGGCTGTCCAGTAGAGTGTTAACGTCTCAGTTGATTCGTTTTAATTAGTATTCGCGTTAATTTACTATTTAGTTTGATTCTCCGTTGGAAACCCATCATGGTCAAAGAGAAACCAAATTCCATCCGCATATACGACGAAGAAGGCTTCCGGCGACGTGCGGCTTGCATTTGCGTTCGCTCCGATGCCGAGACTGAAGTGAGTATCCATTTATTTTGCGAAAATTATTTTGGCAAAGGCTGCGTCCTTGAGGGCGGACAATGTCGCGGAATGTTTATGCCGCCATTCCGAGCGGATTGGCGCCAATTCGAATTTCAAAAGCCGGAGCCGGCTAGCGGCGTTATCAGCACCCGACGAAATAGAGGTCCGATAAAATTTAGCACAATGGGGAAAATTGAGCTCTTTTGTCCAGAAACTCGGGCTTCAAAAATTGCACTTTCGATAATTCAAGTGACCAATCGCTTTGGAATTTTAGTTGTGGTTAAAATCGGGAGAATTATAGATGCTAATCCGAATTAATCTAATCATCCGTTTCAATGAACCGATGACGTCAATGGTAGCAAATTTCACTTGAAGCAACCACGGTTTGTCTCGTTAAGTACAGAACATTAACAAATATTTACCCATTTACTAGTCCTCTAGAGAAAGTTGATGTCGTCATTTCCCTAATGAGTTCATTGTTCTAGGGTGGCGTACTGTGTGTACTCCAATAATGTACCATTATTTTTAACCAATATTTACACCAGATGCCGTAAAAATTCAGAGCGTAAATTGTATAATAACATGAGAACAATATGGTGCAAAATTTTGAGATGACGTCATCAAATTGTTAGAGGGATGATCAGACAAAATTTAGTTTGACGTTTTAGCATTTACGTGATATTTCTAAAATACACAAAATTTAGTTCAATTAATCCATTAGTTTCGAAAATAATATACCTAATAAAATCGCCAAGAGACTGTAGACAGATGTAGGTAAACAGGGACTTGCCTTTTCATATTCGTGACGTTATAAATGTCTAGAAAACATGAAATTAGTCGTTCGCCGAATGAACCCTAGTTCATGGTCCGGAAGCAAAAATAAATGTTAACATTATTATTGTACGATTGAACAAGTAAAATTTTCTATGTAGCTCCATTCTTGTGTAAAATCCTTATTTTTGTTCCCATTGTATAAATACTGAAGACGAGTATTAAAGTTTTGGGTAAAATAATAATAATCAATGTAAGAGGAATTTATTTACTGAAAATGATATATTTTTACTTTCTGAATATAAGCTAAGGAAGTATTGTAACTGAGTGGACGACTGGCTTCTTTTATGTTTTTCATCGTTTCATGACCCCTAGAATACGAAAAAGTAGGTCTCCCGTTTCCGTCTGGCTGGATTTTTATTAGACAGATAATCTTTGAAACTACTTAAATTTTAGATTGTATTAGGAATATAGTGTTGATGGTAAACATTATTATTTAAATTTTATAAAATAAAATACTCCTGCTCATGTGGTTTATGAATCCGCGTTGAATTTTTAACCTAGACTTCCAAATTTTTGGGGGAAATTCAAAATTGCGAAACACTTTGCAGTTTAACTTTGAAGCTGCAAAACCGAGTACTTTGAAATCTTTTTTTTTAATCAAAATTTATCCGTTCGTGCCCCCCCAGATGATTTCATCTTACAATTGTGTCGAATAAATGTTATTTAAATGTTAAAAAGTAACATCATCCTGAACTTGTGGTTTATGAATCCATGTTGATGTTTTATCCTAGACATTGAGATTAAAAAGAAATCAAAATAGTGTAATAATTTTTCAACTTTCGATTTCTCAATTTTTCGATTTCTTGGTGAAGCGATTTTTTCATATATATGATTCCGTGTCGAGTTCTTTTCCACATTTTCGGGAAAAAATCAGAATCGCAGAACATTTTACAATTTAATTTTGAAACTCCAAAATAGAACGCTTTGAAAACTTGCAAACGTCGTAAGCATCCTAAATCATTAATCATTTATGATTTTTTCATTTATGCCCCCCTTAAAACGATGACGTCATTTTACAATTTAGCCAAATAAATATGTTCCTTAAATTTTATAGAATTATGTTCTGCAGGTGTGATTTAAGAATCCGTGTTTAGTTTCTATTTTCTGAGTGTAAGCTAAGGAAGTATTGTAATTGAAAAGGTACTAACCCCGCCCACCCACCCTTTATTTTCTTAGAACTTCTTAAAACTCAAAAAATCGAGAAATGGGAAAATCGAAAAATCCATGAATCGCGAAATTAAGAAATCGAAAAATTGAAAATTTACAAACGTCAAAAACTGAAAAAGTGGAAAATAATAAAAAATCAAAAAAATCGAAAATTTGAAGAGTCGAGAAATTTAAGAATTGAAAATATAATATACCCTCTAAGAAAGGAGAGAGTGGGGGGCGGGGCTAGTAGCTGATAAAATAAGACCGATTTTGGCAAATGACATGGAACATCCAGATCAATGAGTCTTACCTTAGCAGGTACTAGCCCCGCCCACCCGTCCTCTATTTCCTTAGAAGGTATTTCATTAGCCAAAATTAGTCTTATCTTAACAAGTAATAGCCCCGCCCACCCACCCTCTCTTTTCTTGGAAGATATGTGATTTGCCAAAATCGATCTTATTTTAGCAGGTACTAACCCCGCCCGCCCACCCTCTCTTCTTAGAGAGTATGTCATCTGCCAAAATTAATCTTATCTTGGCAAGTATGAGACTGATTTTTGCAGATGACATATCCTCTAAGGAAATAAGGGTGGGTGGGCGGGGCTAGTACTTGTCAAGATAAGACTGATTTTGGCAAATGACATTCTCTAAGAAAATAGGGAGGGTGGGCGGAGGGCTAGGTGGGTGGGGTTAGCACTTGCTAAAAATAAAATAAAAAATGACAAATTGAAAAAACCGGATAAATGAGAAATCGGAAAATTGTACAACTGTATAATCGGAAAATCAAAAACTGAAATATCGAAAAAAATAAAAAACAAACAAATGTTATAAAATCGAATTCAAAATTCCAGTTTTCATTTTTTTTTTTAATTTTTAGATTTTTCAACTTTTGATTATTTCATTTGATAATTTGTTTTTTAACTAAAAGAACAAATTTATTCGAACCGAAATTTTGGAAGATCGAAAAACCCAAAAATTGAAAATTAGAAACATTTTTCAAATGTTTTAAAATTACGGTAAACATGACAAATCGCTGATCAAAATTACTCTTTACTTCCTACCAAAAACTCGGTGACAAAAAATCAAAAATCGAAAATTTAAAAAAATTAAGATCTATTTTCTCGATATTTTTTAAAATCAAATAATTGAGAAATCGGAAAACTGCCAAAATTGTAAAATTAAAAAATCGAAAGTTTTTTTCAGTTGCCCAGAGAAATCAAAAATCGAAAGACAGATCAAAAAATTGAAAATCTAAAAAACGAGAAATTGAAAAATTCGAAAGTTGAAAAATCGAAAAACTGAAGGATGTAGTCGTACTCACTACGATAAGACTGACCTATTCTTCTAAGAAAATAAAAAAAGAGGTCATCTGCCAAAATCAGTCTTATCTTCGCAAGTATGAGACTGAGTTTTGCAAATGAGATATCCCCTAAGAAAACAAGGGTGGGTGGGCGGGGCTAGTACTTGTCAAGATAAGACTGATTTTGGCAGATGACCTACTCTTCTAAGAAAATAAAGGGTGGGTGGGCGGGGCTAGTACTTTTCAAGATGAGACTGATTTTGGCAAATGACTTATTCTTCTAACAAAATAAAGACTGGGTGGGTGGGGTTAGCACTTGCTAACAATAAAAAAATTTAACATCAAAAAATGATAAATTGAAAACTCGGATAAATGAGAAATCGGAAAATTGTACAACTGTATAATCGCAAAATCAAAAACTGAAATATCGAAAAATTGGAAAAACAAATCTTATAAAATCGAATTCGAAATTCCAGTTTTCATTTTTTTTTTTTAGTTTTTAGATTTTTCAACTTTTGAATATTTCATTTGATAATTTGTTTGACAATTTTGCAGTTTTTAATTCCAGTCTTTTGATTTTTCAAGTTAAAATTTTTCCTTTTCAAGATTTGTCATTTTTCGATTTTTTAATTAAAAGAACAAATTTATTCGAACCGAAATTTTGAAAAATCCAAAAATTGAAACTTAGAAATAAAATTTTCAGATGTTTTAAAATTACGGTAAACATGGCAAATCGCTGATCAAAATTACTCTTTACTTTCTTCCAAAAACTCGGTGACAAAAAATCAGAAATCAAAAATTTAAAAAATAAACATCTATTTTCTCGATATTTTTAAAAATCGAATATGTAATTGAAAAATCGGAAAACAGCCAAAATTGTAAAATTAAAAAATCGAAAGTTTTTTCAGTTGCCCAGAGAAATCAAAAATCGAAAGAATTGAAAATTTAAAAAGTGAAAAATTGAAAAATTCGAAAGTTGAAAAGTCGAAAAACTGAAGAATCTAGTAGTACTCACTACGATAAGACTGATTTTGGCAAATGATCTACTCTTAAGAAAACAAAGGGCGGGTGGGTGGGGCTAGCATTTGCCAAAATAAGACTCATTTTAGCCAATGACCTACTCTTCTAAGAAAATAAAAGAATAGGTCATCTGCGAAAATCAGTCTTATCTTCGCACGTATGAGACTGATTTTTGCAAATGACATATCCTCTGAGAAAACAAGGGTGGGTGGGCGGGGCTAGTACTTGTTAAAATAAGACTGATTCTGGCAGATGACCCACTCTTGAAAGAAAATCAAGGGTGGGTGGGCGGGGCTAGTACCTTTTCTTAGAAGAGTAGGTCATTTGCCAAAATGTGTCTTATTTTGACAAGTACTAGCAAATTTCGAACCATTTTCGACGATTTTCGAAATTTAACTAAATACTTTTTCTAGTAGATTTCGGGGCTCAGAAGTCACTTCCAGCCTCGTTTCTTCGATAACTTTGACCTTTTTTTCCATAATTAGATCATTAATTCAGTGCATTGAAATATCACAATTTTTAAAAATATCAAAAAAATTCAATACAACACCTATAGAAAGAAGATCTTGCGTCATTTTTGCAAGTAGGTGTATGTTTTCCAGTTAAGTTCGGATTAAAGAGATATCGACTTCAACTAGCCTCTGGTCGGATTACTGGATATTCGGATAATCGTGGGTTCGGATTATAGAGATTAT